GATCCCCGCGCTCGCCCGGGCTCTGGTGCCCCCACCGTGCGCGCGGCGCCGCCGAATCCCCATCGCTCCGGGGCCGCCCGCCCGCCGCGCTCTCGGCAAACACAGTGCTTGTTTGCGCAGGGCCACCCTGGGCTGGGTGTCCGCTGCTGCCAGCGAGAGAGTGGGGCGTCCCTGGGCCCCGCGTCCTCACCCCTCTCTCCCCGGAGCTCGAGGAACCCAGTTGGAGGAGAGCCCCCTCCAACGACCAGGGCTGGGTGGCCGCGGCCCAGCTGGGACGCCTGCGGCTTCGTGGCCTTGGCAGCACCGCTGCGGCCGCCCCTCGGTTTCCCCATCTGGACACCGCGAGGCTGGGGAAACCGAGGGGACGGTACCTCAGCTTGCGCCTGAGGTCGGCCGCTGTCTTCCTGCCCCTCCGCCTGCTTTCTCTTCCTTTGGGCTCGACTGCCAGGCGGAGGCTTGGGAGCATCAAAGGCTGGGACCCAAGGTCATAATACCAGGCAGCGACCTGCGGGTCGGGGGTAGAATGCCCCTCCCAGTCTCAGATCCCTTCACCCCGCTCGCTCCAATCCTTGGGGTCCGCCCGGCAGTTTACAGTTGGGGAAACTGAGGCGGGGCGGGGCTGTGCACGCGCTGGCGCTCCCTGGAGGGCAGGGGAAGCGGACGCCGGAGGCGAGGAGCTCACGGACTCCCCACTGGGCTCCTACTCCAGGGGCCTGGAGACTGCCCATTTCTCGGGCGCACCGAAACCCGCATTGGGCGCCGCGCTCCGAGGGGGCTGCAACGGCCGCCCCCGCCAAGGGGTTCCGGCCTCCACGGCCGAGCGGGTCCGGGCCCCTCGCGGCCCCCTGCTCTCAGTAAAGCCCCCTCAAGCGCTTCTTCCTTTGACAATTAAGAATGTAAACAGAAACGTGTGTGTTTAATCCTCCGCGGTCCCCGCTGGCAGAAACGGGGTGCCAGGGACGCCAGGGCTCGGGGTGCGCCGCGCGACGTTCTGCCAGGCTGCCGCGGGTGGCCCTCCGGGCGCCGGGCATCTCCAGGCGCCGCCGAGGCTGGGAGAGCCCGAGGCGCTGGCTTCGACGTCGAAGCTTCCAGAATCCGGAACCAGCGCGCAGGAGGGACCGGGAGGCTGGTGGCCGGCCTAGAGAGTGCCCACTTTCCGGACGCGCAGCGCGAGGCCCCAGCGGGGGTGGGACCCCAGCCGCCTCCCGCTCCTGGAGGCTCCCCCCGGGGTTCTTCCGGAAGGAAAGCCTTGCCAGACCCCGCGCGTTCGGGGCGGGGCTGGCGTCCCATCAAGGTGTCATTTATCTGACGTTCTTCGCCCCACCCCGCTCCATGAGGCTGATCTCCCCCAACCCCACTACTGTGCCGCCTTCTGGGTTGTTTCCCCGGGTACCTCTAGATGGGGAAGGGGCCCCAGCGAATTCTCCGAGGGTGCTGACACTGGGTGCTGACAAGCCTCCCCGCCACCGCGAGCGGAATCCATGGCCGAATATGGAGGAGGGGCCGGACTATTCGCTTGACTGAACAAATCATTCAGTGCCTCCCCCTCAGTGTTGGAACCTCAGCCCCCACCTTCCCCTTGGAGCGCTTAAGTTTGGGGAGAAGAAATGGCCATATAGTCACCTCCATTCCTATGAAGTCAGGACTGAGAGGCACTTCCTGGAGGAGCAGACTTTGAGCCTGGGTTTTGTAGAACGTATAGGAGTTCGGGTCAAATAGATATGAAAAGCCCTTGTAACATGGTGAGGAAGGGAGTGAGGCGGGGGCAGTAGTGTTAGCCCAGCCCCGGACCTCGCAGGCCTTCATTAAGGAAGTATTTGTGGAATGATTCAATGACATAAAACTGGAGGCAGATTTGGGGGGAAAATGGGGGGCGGGCAAGCCTTGGATACAGGACTGGGGGGAGTCACACTCTGCCGTGAGGGCCCCTACTGGCTGTGAGTATGGCTCACCCCTGCCTCAGTTTGCACAAATGCGGGGTCATGAAAGACAGGAGGTGGGTAGAATGACGCAACTTCCTCCCCCTCGCAGGACCAGGTTTGGGGGAGGGGCTGTTTGTTCCTGAGGTGGCAGGTGAGTCACTGACTGAAAGAAGGAAACTCATTTCCTCCTTTGTTCAAGGCCCACCTCCGTCCACACTGCGGGGGGTGGGGGTGGGGGTCCCAATCCCCGGGAAAGGCGCCTAGCAGAATCCGGACGACCCCCACACCTACCCAGCACCACCGTCACTCAGCACATGGGGGCGGAGCCCGGGGCTGCTCTGCTTCGCCCTTTGCAGGTGAGGAAACTGAGGCCACAAGGCACTTGAATTTGGTGAGTCCCGGTCTTGGGGACCGGGTGGCTTTGCTGAGTCCCCACAGGGTCCAAATGGTGGACACAACACGTGTTGAATTTGTCCCAGGCTGCAGACAGATGACAGCAGGACCCCAGGTCTGCTCCCACCCAGCGTCCCTGCCCCAGGGTCCGCCCACCCAGCCTGCACACCATCCCCGGGAACACAGGACCCCAGGAGACAGGTGCACCGGCTGGGTGGGAGGTCCTGGGAACTC